ATCTACCGTTATCCAAACATAGTAAAATTGAAATTTCTTAATTTCCTAAATCTGAATTTCCAACCTCTAAACCCTAGTAACTGCAGTCAGTTCATCCCACCCTCGTATAAACCCTTTGTTACCAACCTCTCTTGAATGCAATATCCCCCTCCCTCCTGTAAAACTGAAGTTATTCACCTCACTAGACAGCTGTAGTATACTCTAGACTACTACAGGTTCCAGCTGATCTCAATCTTGGGGGTTTAATAACCCCTCCCTCGTATACATGCACTGCATAGCGGGGGGGGGGGGGGTCACATTCAACACATTTTTAGACCCCCCCAGCACGTGAGTATTTGGGATTTATAATTGGGAATCATTACGGATATTGTTTGTTATGGAACAGGAAGTACTTTTATCTAGAAATCTTAATTCTTATCCAAAATGTCAACTTTGATCCGATAGAGTTGTCAGATTTGCGCATTGTTATAAACAAGTTCATAATCTTTTTGTGCTTCTAGAAGGCAAATAAACTTACATCTTACAAAACAAGTTTTCTGAAACATTTAAATCTTGTCTTTGACCCTCTAGACTCACACTGTAAATTATCATCATCATTAACATCAATAACAAACTTCTTTACTTATCCTATTTTTCCATTCTGCTCTTTCTTTCGTTCCTAGATCTGACATTTTTTTCCCATGTAAGGCAATTTTTTGTAATTATCTCAGTATTAATACTCCAAAACCGTTCTATCTCAGTATTAATTCTTCCAAACAAATCTCAGTAATATTAATCTTAAACCGTCCCTTCTCAGTATGAATTCTCCCAAACCATCTCAGTATTATTATTCCCCAACCGTCCTGTCTCAGTATTAATACTCACAAACCGTCCTGTCCCAGTATTAATACTCACAAACCGTCCTGTCTCAGTATTATTACTTCCAAACCTCCTATCTCAGGATGAATAATCCCAAACTGTCCTGTTTCAGTATTAATAGTCCCCAAACGTCCTATATCAGTATTAATTAATTGATTGTTCCGTCCTACAGCCCTTCCGAGCTCCCTCATAGAATCTTCCGAACCACTCTGTCTGCAACCTGTCCTAGACCCCTCCTAGATTTTTCCAAACCACTCTTCCTGCAACCCGTCCTAGCCACCTCAATGATTGTTCCGAACCACCCTTCTTGCAACCCGTCCTTGCCCCTTCAATGATTGTTCAGAACAACCCTTCCTGCGAACCGTCCTTGCCCTCTCATAGATTGTTCCGAACCACATTCCTGCAATCCGTCCTAGCCCCCTCATAGATTGTTCCGAACCACCCATCTTGCAACCCGTCATAGTCCCCTCATAGATTGATCCGAACCACCCTTCCTGCAACCCGTCCTAGCTTGTTCCAAACCACCCTTCCTGCAATCCGTCCTAGCCCTCTCAATGATTGTTCAGAACAACCCTTCCTGCAACCCGTCCTTGCCCTCTCATAGATTGTTCCGAACCACATTCCTGCAATCCGTCCTAGCCCCCTCATAGATTGTTCCGAACCACCCATCCTGCAACCCGTCATAGTCCCCTCATAGATAGTTCCAAACCACCCTTCCTGCAACCCGTCCTAGCCCCCTCATAGATTGTTCCGAACAACCCTTCCTGCAGTCCGTCCTAGCCCCCTCATAGATTGTTCCGAACCACCCTTCCTGCAATCCGTCCTAGCCCCCTCATAGATTGTTCTGAACCACCCTTCCTGCAACCCGTCCTACCCTTCTCATAGATTTTTCCAAAACACCCTTCCTGCAACCCGTCCTAGCTTGTTCCAAACCACCCTTCCTGCAATCCGTCCTAGCCCCCTCAATGATTGTTCAGAACAACCCTTCCTGCAACCCGTCCTTGCCCTCTCATAGATTGTTCCGAACCACATTCCTGCAATCCGTCCTAGCCCCCTCATAGATTGTTCCGAACCACCCATCCTCCAACCCGCCATAGTACCCTCATAGATTTTCCGAACCACCCTTCCTGCAAACCGTCCTAGCCTCCTCATAGATTGATCCGAACCACCCTTCCTGCAACACCACGCGAACATGTGAACCCATGAACAGGTTTATATCTAGTTGCATAAAAACACTGGTCTACGCCCTTTATTCAATTCATTCATTTGTGTGCAATCATTCCAATTGTTAAGATTCACTTTTCAAATCAATCAGAACTAATCCTTAACCTAATATTTCTGAAGAGGTTTAATTTTTGAATCTATCCAATATCTATCTATCCTAATCTATTTTGTATATTTTATTCACAAATCTATTCATTTATTCATTCATCCCTCCATCTATTTATCTATTCATCTCATGAGATGATTTTTATCCTTCCTTATCCTTGAGTAAAACATGGCGCGCGAGAGCTACATGCATACACCATCCAACCACGGGCACGCTATTCAAGGCCACTAACTTAGAGTCAATTTTAGCACGATAAAATATGTTTCAACTTTTAAACCTACATTCTATGTTTAACCTAACATTGCTAACTTTTTTCTTTCTTTAAATAAAGTAGAAACTTACAAATTATATCCTAAACCATGGGAAAAGTTTGAATTGAAATCACAACATAAATAAATCGCTGGATTTCGACTGAAAGTGATCTTGACCTGGAAAAAGAAGATGCTAGAATGTTTCCAATCCAGCAGAAAATCATTCTGACATTCCAGAATATTTAAAAACCGATATTGTGGTCGAGAAAGTATAGTTACACGAAATGCGCATACACAGTTGGTGGGTTTTGCACTTTACATAAAAAATTGGTGTATGTACATAAACAGTTGTTTTATGTACAGAAACAGCTGTTGTATAAAGAAACAGATGGTTCTGCACAATAACATTTGGTTTACAGATAGAAACGCAGGAAAACTGGTACATAAATTGAAACAGAAAGGCTTAAGAAAAAAGTGTAATTTATATGAGATAAATCAAAAATATATATTTATCTATAAAAAGCCATCCAATTACCTGACCTAACCTCAAAAAGCATAGTTTCTTGAGTATACTTCAATCAATTGATTTAACAGACATTTTTTTAACAGAAAGTTCAACTTGGTATCCCTTGTGAATGTCCTGTAGAATAAACAGGTTCTAACTGGACGTCAACAAGATATCCATGTAAACAGGTAATTTGATAAAGGATATAGCAGATTAAAATTAAACAATATCCGGACTAGACCCCCCCCCCCCCCCGAATACCAGGGGGGGGGGGGGGGGGGGGTCAAATGGACAGGTTATTGAAATGAAATTAGATAAGCAACTCCTTGGACTATATAGAGGAAATGTATTACGTATCTTTAACTTTTATATGTAGCTCTAGAATGACTTCTTTACAGGATCAGTTTTTGAGACATTTACGTCATATCTAGTCATTGCTGACCTTATTAGAACAGGAATACGTTAATAAAAAAGGAGAAAAAATACTGAAGAAAGATTGAAAAATATTTTACGACTAAAAATGCGCTGATTTCATTATGAATAAGTGTTAATGCAATAGATTACAAATTCCACTTGGATACAAGGATTTCATCACGGTAAGAAATGTTTTATTTTTCTTATGAAAAAGTAATATTTGGGCTATCGGGCGAGAAAGTACAAACAAAAAGAGGAATATCTGAAAATTTCTTATTTTTGGGAAAGAATTTAAATTCTTTTAGACGTAATCTTCAAAGTTTATAAATAAATGCATTGGTGTCGCAGTAGAGGCCATTTTTGGGTACAAATATACAGTACAGCTTTACAGAAAAAGGAGTGCAAAAGAGAAGGTGTAGAGATAATGGAGTACAGAACTACAATTAAATATGAGTACAGGATTACAAGAGTACAACGTAAAGTATGAAACGGGTGTAAGTTTACAGGAGAACAAAAGTGCAGGAGTATAAGATTAAAAGTACAGGGTTTGAGATGTACAAGAGTACTAAAGCACAGTATTATGTGTTTAGGATTACAGGAGTAAAAGATTACAAGTGTATGGAAGTACCGGAAAACAGGATATGTACAGTTGTGTAGATTCTAAATACTAGTAAATGTTTCCACAAATTTAGCTGAAATACATGAATACAGCCAGGTTCGAAATACGTGAATACAAAAGTATAGTAATACAGCCATGAAATACATGACTACAGAAGTACAGGAATACAGCTGAAATACATGAATACAGCCAGGTTTGAACTACTTGAATGCAAAAGTACAGTAATTCAGCCATGGGTACATGACTACAGAAGTACAGGAATACAGCTGAAATATATGAAAACAGTCAGCTGATCTACGTGAATACAGAAATAACAGGAATACAGCCATGGAATACATAAATACAGAAGTACAGGTGTTGTAAGAACAAAGTACAAGAAGTTGAGGAGAACAAAACGTTTTTATACTTAAGTTAGAAAATGAAAAGATTGTACAATGAAAATTGTGTTTATTTTAGTACAGAGAAGTACAATGAAAAATAGCCAATGAGTAAACAGTGAGTAAATTAATTTATATTATAAAACTAATGAATCGTAAATAAGATTATATTATTATATAATACAATATTTCACAATTTTTCTGGTTTCCGTCAAAATTGTTTAGTTCATTAGTCTCCATTTCTTAACTTTTTGTAAAATATAATAATATTATTTTTATAGTTTATATTTTATCTTATTCTATCTCTATCTCTCTCTCTACCTCCCACTCATTTTGCTTTTAAACCAGTTTGAAAATTGCAAATCGGCAAGATTTGAAACATTCTTTGTTTTACAAGAAAAAAAGCTCACCAAACCTTTAAAGTAGGCGCCTGCCTTTATATTACAGATGTTGACTGAAACCCAAAATATGGGATTTGGAAAACAGATGTTCGAGTTTTTTTATTAAAGTTATTTACTTTCACGATTTGAAAGAAGGAAACATGTTATCAGAAAAACTAAAAATGGTAAAAAATCGATGATTACAACTTAAAAACTGGGTTATAAACTTAAAAAAGAATGATTTTAAATCTGCATTTCATAAATACCTGAATTAGGTTTTCCATCTGCTCCTAGATTGTTATTTGAAGCATTTTTATCAAAAATAATTTCAACGCTCTCCTCTCGATGTAGAGTTTCCTCTTCACCCTCGAAATATCCAGAGTCACTATTCAGAGGTTCAGTTTTGGCCTCTTTATCCCCCTGGGCTTTTCTGGTAGGGGAGGGGGATTTATTTCCCCCCTTCCCATTGGATTCCTGGATATCTATACGAGCCATGGTTGAAGGCCTGGTTTAGGCCTGGAATTCAAGGTCTTCTAGACGAGGAAACCTTTCGTTCGTTCTTTTCTACGCCTCGCCAATCATATCAAGGACAAACCGTGTTTTGTGTTCCGACAATATACATATACGCGCTAGCAGAGTTATATTCTCCCAAACTGTTGGGATGATTATTTTCCCAAACTGTAGAGGAACAAAAAGAATTTGTCCCAATTTAGAGTTTGTATTTTCGTCTCTGGATTGCACAAAATAGCTATCTCCGAGAATTTAATTTTAAGAAAATGACAATTAATCACTGAATAAGTCTTGTTTTTTACAAATAGGGCTAAATGGGGGGAACTGTTTTTTATTCCCTGGCCCAAATCAGACTTTCCCCAGGAGGGGAAAGTGTTTGAATATCAGCTGTTTTTAAGTAGGTCAATCTAACGTTGTAGTAGGTAGAGTTCATCTTCTTATACAGTGGGAACCTATTTACACACCAATATGTCCACTTAGAATTCCCATATTTTTTATTCTTCACCCTATAGAGGTTACGCAATGTTTTTTAGATCCGAAAGTATAGTTGATATTATCCAAGGCTGGGGATGGATGCTAGAGCTAGCCTGTAGGAATAAATTACTGAGTAACCTTGCCTCTTATACATTCACTGTTTGTAGATTAAGTAAATTTAGGAATAGAACCAAGTCCGAAATGTAAATTTATAGAGGAAATGTTTTAAATTTTGTATCACATTTTTGAAAATATTTTGCTGGGCGCTAGCGTCAGCTCCCCTCGGTCTCACGGTTCGATACTAACTGACAGCTAGTGGAAATAGGGAAAGGGAATGAAATACAGCTGACTGCCAAACAGTTGGCTTTGTTTGCGCATGCGCAGTTGATCTTTAAACGGTACTGCGCAGGCCTCAAGCTGTTTACACTCTGGAAACGGGATTTCGATCCAGCTGTTAGTGAAGTACAATGTAGAACAGATGATTAGATGGATCAGATGGGAAGGGGGGGGGGGCATTATTGGAGAGAAAATGTTCACGGGAGTTGGGAACTTCAGGGGAGGAATAAATTGCAAAAAAGGTAAGAAAAGAAATGATAAAAATCTGGTGCGAAGAGAAGTATAATAGGAAAAGGAGAGAAACTATGCATATTTGGGAGTAAAATATTCCCAGAGGGGAGGGCCGGGGATTATAAGATCCAAAGAAAAGAGACACATGTTTATCATGCGGAAAAGGAAATCTTTAGTTGATGTTTTCTCTTAGACATAAATAGCGACCAGGCGCATTCAGGGGGGGCTATGGGGCTAAGCCCCCCCTGGACTAGTGAAATATATTGATTTCAGGGGGTTTTCAGGCCCCAACGGGTGCTGAGTCCCTGATAGCGACATGATTATAAACAATTTGTAATGATGTCAGAAAACAGCAATTTAATGATAATAATAGTATTAGTAGTAATAATAGAAGCAACTAGTAGCAATAGAAGTAGCAATCAGGGGCGTAATCAGAAATTTGTCCAGGGGGGTCTCAATATTTTTTATTTGAAAACAATAGATTTTACTGGTCCATAGCCCCCCTAAATAGGCCCCTGGTAGCAAAAGTTGTAGCAATAGTAGTAGCAATAGTTGTAGGAATAGTAGAAGGAATAGTAGTAGCAATAGTAGTAGGAATAGTAGTAGGAATAGTAATTGGAATAGGAAAAGAAATAGTAGTAGGAATAGGAATAGTAATATTATTACTAGTGACACTGACATTGATAATGATAGTGAAAATGA